CTGTGCCTCTTCGTTTTCCCTTGTTCCCTTTAATCTTTTCACTCTCTCTCTCTCTCTCTCTCTCTCTCTCTCTCTCTCTCTCTCTCTCTCTCTCTCTCTCTCTCTCTCTCTCTCTCTCTCTCTCTCTCTCTCTCTCTCTCTCTCTCTCTCTCTCTCTCTCTCTCTCTCTCTCTCTCTCTCTCTCTCTCTCTCTCTCTCTCTCTCTCTCTCTCTCTCTCTCTCTCTCTCACTCTCTCACTCTCTCCCTTGCTGACATTCCTTCCCTCTTTTTCTCTCATTTCTCATCAAATGTGCAACTGTAGTAGCAAATCTGATGAGTGTGTACTCACCTAATTGTACTCACCTAATTGTGCTTGCGGGGGTTGAGCTCTGGCTCTTTGGTCCCGCCTCTCAACCGTCAATCAACTGGTGTACAGATTCCTGAGCCTATTGGGCTCTATCATATCTACATTTGAAACTGTGAATGGAGTCAGCCTCCACCACATCACTTCCTAATGCATTCAATTTGCTAACTACTCTGACACTGAAAAAGTTCTTTCTAACGTCTCTGTGGCTCATTTGGGTACTCAGCTTCCACCTGTGTCCCCTTGTTCGCGTCCCACCAGTGTTGAAAAGTTCATCCTTGTTTACCCGGTCGATTCCCCTGAGGATTTTGTAGGTTGTGATCATGTCCCCCCTTACTCTTCTGTCTTCCAGTGTCGTGAGGTGCATTTCCCGCAGCCTTTCCTCATAACTCATGCCTCTTAGTTCTGGGACTAGTCTAGTAGCATACCTTTGGACTTTTTCCAGCTTCGTCTTGTGCTTGACAAGGTACTGTGTGTGTGTGTGTGTGTGTGTGTGTGTGTGTGTGTGTGTGTGTGTGTGTGTGTGTGTGTGTGTGTGTGTGTGTGCTTCTTTGGCCTTTAAAGCCAAATTACCTGTATGTAATTTGTATTAATTGTAAATAATAATTTTATATTTTGTAATCCAAGTTTTGGGGAAGACCTGAACTGCTAATCAGGGTCTATCACCCGACCAAAATTAACAACTTTGGCCTCCAAATTGGCCAGTCACAAGTGCTGAACTACCAGCGGGTCTCCATTAGCGGGATTACCTCACCAACTGCTCGTTCACAAATTTCAACAGGCTCGTAGAAATTGTAAAGGAGGGGTATGACGGGCTGGTGATCGATAATTGGCTTGTTTGTATGCTAATGACTTCATCGAAGTGCCCAATTTGCATATACTATGGCTCTGAACTCTTTAAGGTAGAGTCAGTAAAGGTGGTGATATGTGGGATCGTTTGCCAGTGGTGTCATACACACCTGGTGAGCTGGAACCAGTGGTGTCATACACACCTGGTGAGCTGGAACCAGTGGTGGCATACACACCTGGTGTGTTGGGACCAGTGGTGTTATACACACCTGGTGTGCTAGCGAGAAAGATCATCGGTGTGAGAGTGAGATATGAATATAAAATTTATAAATAGACCAAGAGAAATGAAGAATGTGTGTGTGTGTGGGAGAGAGAGAGAGAGAGAGAGAGAGAGAGAGAGAGAGAGAGAGAGAGAGAGAGAGAGAGAGAGAGAGAGAGAGAGAGAGAGAGAGAGAGAGAGAGAGAGATAAACTCTTACAAAAGAATAATAATATGTTGCAGAGGTCTGCACATCTAAGTAATGTGCAAACCTCTTTAGACATTCCAATTTTTCAACCACATCTAAGCTGCAATAACAATCAAATGTCCAGCAAATGGCCAATTTCTATCCATCCCATTACCTAATATGTTACTCTATGAATTATACAGCTAACTACCTATTGTAGCCTGGTAATAGGTCGATATATATTTCACCTTTTCATGACATAACCATAAGCCGTATTTTTTTTCGGAAGCAGCAAGAGAAAACGTGGTTCCTAATATCATGGACTTTAATATATTTCTTGAATTAGGATTACGTTTTCTTTCTTGTATTTCAGGGGAAGCTGCTGTATCTTCACCTGTAACGTTACAGTCATCTGGGATTTAATTCAGGATAATGACCAAACCACAATTCAGTATATGGAGTAACGACGACGTTTCGGTCCGTCTTGGACCGTTATTATGTCGTTAATTCAGGATGTCTTGGAAGCAACTGTGTGCCACAAATTAAATTAAATCACATTGTTCAAGAAATAAATATGTCTATCTTGAGGTTATCTTGAGATGATTTCGGGGCTTTTTAGTGTCCCCGCGGCCCGGTCCTCGACCAGGCCTCCACCCCCAGGAAGCAGCCCGTGACAGCTGACTAACTCCCAGGTACCTATTTACTGCTAGGTAACAGGGGCATTCAGGGTGAAAGAAACTTTGCCCATTTGTTTCTGCCTCGTGCGGGAATCGAACCCGCGCCACAGAATTACGAGTCCTGCGCGCTATCCACCAGGCTACGAGACCCCCTAAGGTCTATGGTGCGATTATGGGAGAAAAGATGGCTGATTACAGACAAATATATTGACTATTGTTGATGTGTAACTTAAGTGGCATTTAGACAGGAGGAAGGAAGAGAATTATCAGGGAAAAGTGCCTGTATAGCACTATTATAGACTATCTAGCACTATATAAACTATTTAGCACTTGGAAGGGGTCAGGATCAGGGATGGGACGTGGGGGGGGGGAAAGGAATGGTACCCAACCTCTTGCGGACGGTCGGGGATTGAACGCCGACCCTGCATGAAGCGAGACTGTCGCTCTACCGTCCAGCCCATGTGGACAGACAGGAAGTGACTTAATACATACTTTAATTAGAACAAGTTGAGGTCGCCGAACCTGAGTGTATAATGTATAAAAATGTTAAGACGTGAATGTATAATGTAGTCGGTAACGAAATGTTTTCTTGGTCTCCGGCAGTTCAACGTTTGCTCGTCTGAATCAATGCTGAAGCAATCATCAATATTAAAAATTGTGTTTTTATCGGTTCATATATTTATATCGGGATCCCGAGGACGGTCTGAGCTTGGGGGTCGACAGCCTGAATACCTTTCCAGCCTCGTCCTCAGCCTATTCTCAGCCCTTCCCCACTCAACCTATCCTCTTATCCATCCAATTTGACTAGCATACCCTACTGTCCCCCCTTCGACTGTCCATATTCCCCTCAGTTCCCTATTTTCCCCCCTTCACCTCCCTATTTTACCCCCTCAGTGCCTCATTTTCAATCTCGCTTTTCACATACCTCACTCCCCATCAGCCAGCTCTATTTTCACTTCACTCTCTCTTCACATCTCTTCCATCTTCACCTCATCCATCATCACGGTATTCTGTTATTACTTTGCTTCTCCTTCCATCCCTCTCCATCTTCACCTCCTCCCCCCATCATCTGGGCCCTTGCATCAACCCCCTTCCTCACTCTCTCTCCTCTCCCAGAGCCCAGAGGGACAGGAGACAAGCACACCAAGAAAGCTCTCCCAACGGCATCAAAATGTTTGACAATATTTCCCACCGCTTATACGTTATCAGCTTCGTGAAAAATACTCGCAGTTTCAAGCCAATGTTTACTCATTTTTAATGACGGGGGATCGAGGAATTACTCTGTAATTTATTATGACTGAAAACTCTAGATATCGTGATTATCAGAATTTGCACGGACAAATAACTATGAATACATTACAGGGAGCTCGACACAAGTGTTGGAATTCAATCGTTCAAGTTCCGGAATGCCTGGATAGTGGGAATATGAAGAAGTTTTGTCCAGTGGAGTAGTGATTCGTGGTTAGTGATGTTAGCGTCCAGTGGAGCAGTGACTCGTAGTTAGTGATGACCGTGACTAACAGACTAGTCAGAAAAACGTTCACGACCTTCTACAAGTCATGTCAGCGGCGTGACATGATATCAGCGACGGCGAGACATAACACGTACGGATAACTAACCGCTCACAACCTCGAGAAATTTACAATATACGAGTTAACTTGGACGTCGAACTGAGACATCGTTGAGGGCGCGGCCAGGGGGCGGGCTTCTCCAGTCGATCACGACACACATAGAGGTTGTGTTTGTTATGCAGATGCAATGTGTCAACTGTTTTATCAATCTACGTGAGTGGCTTATTCTTCAGAGAGGAGCAGGGTTGATAAAGGCAGTTTTCCCGCGTGTGTCAACATCGATTGTTGTAGGTTTACCAGCCTGTCCTCACACTAGGCTGGTTAAAGCAGCGTTCGTCCTTCCCAGACAACCTGTCCTCATACTAGGCTGGTTAAAGCAGCGTTCGTCCTTCCCAGACAACCTGTCCTCACACTAGGCTGGTTAAAGCAGCGGTCGTCCTTCCCAGATGCATTCATCAATTTGTTTGAAAAGTGTTCGGAACAATATGTTCCGGAAGCACTTGTTCCGGAAATGTTTGGAACATCATCAGTTGTGAGTCGTGTATAAACCGTTTTTAATTCATAAACAGGGGGGGGGGTTTGACGGCTGCATTAACGAGCTTGGATCTTTGCATGAGAGAACGGGCTGGCCCATAAACATCGATGCTTCGATCTATCAGCTTGTGCTTCAAATCAACTCCTTCGAGATCGCGGCTTTGTTGAATTTATAATAATTTACACTCCCCAGCAATTGTTTTGTTTACACTCTCAGTTGTTTTTTTGCTTTTGTCCAGAAATCTATATTTCGGTTGAGAGAAAAAATTATTCACTCAACCCTGAGTTACAACCATAATATTTTTCCAAACAAAACAATGTTGGTTATTTTACATTATCATGAATGTCCGGGGAGGGAGGGGGTGGGGGGGGGCGTGGAGGTGTTTTGTTATCAGGTGTTTTGTTATCAGGTGTTTTTCTGTGGATGCCAGTCTATCGCGGGTGTTTACTGACACACTCGAGCCTGTGTTTGCCTGCTAATCGGTGCCACTGCTATATCGATGAATTCAAACTTATGAAAATTCAAGAATTCAAAATTCTCAAATTATGTAGCAACGTTTCTGTTACTCCACCGGGATAACTTCGTGCATCTCGCTGAGTCTAGAGAAATATTAGACAATCCAATATCCCTTCGAGTCAGTACCAGACACAGATAGCGAGACCGAGAGTAAGACTCAAGATAGCGAGACCGAGAGTAAGACTCAAGATAGCGAGACCGAGAGTAAGACTCAAGATAGCGAGACCGAGAGTAAGACTCAAGATAGCAAGACCGAGAGTAAGACTCAAGATAGCGAGACCGAGAGTAAGACTCAAGATAGCAAGACCGAGAGTAAGACTCAAGATAGCGAGACCGAGAGTAAGACTCAAGATAGTGAGGCCGAGAGTAAGACTCAAGATAGTGAGACCGAGAGTAAGACTCAAGATAGCGAGACCAATATTCATACACACAATATACTGAAAACAAAAAAAAAAGCTTATCATTCCCCCCTCCCCCCTCCCTCTGTCACCAGATGAACTGATAGCAAAGTTGTGTACCTGTTGCTATGTCTGGCTATCCTTTGACCCTGATGGCTATCGTCTGGAGATGCTGACTAATTTTCATATGGATCAGTCAGTAGGTCTACTGTGATTGGTTGGAGGGACATCTAAAACTGCACGGCCCTGAGAGTAGACTTCGCTGAGTTTACCCATTACTTCCCCATAACGATGTTGAACTTCAGGGGGAGGAAGTTCCTCGTCTTCTTGGACAAACTTTGAGGGCGCGTCCGGCCCCGTCTTGGGAGAGGTCATGGTGGTGGTGGTCGTGGTGGTCGTCGTGGTGGTTCTTATCTATTAGTGACGATAGGAAAGTGAAGTTTAGCTCTTTATATCTCGCCTTACCCTCCTATTTTTCCCCAATTTTATAAAGGTCGTCCTTGTCCATCGTGTCAATATCTGTCCATCAATTATATATGATTGTGGTGACGGGTGGTCATACTGGTGACGGTGATGGTGACGGGTGGTGATAACACCTATCACTAACATCTCCAACAGACTCACCGCCTATCAACAAAACAAAACTGCTCAAAAGATATACAAACTTAGAATATTTCTCACTATTCAGAGATTAGATTCAATGCACGGAACACAGATATCGAAGAGCATCACACACACACACACACACACACACACACACACACACACACACACACACACACACACACACACACACACACAGGCCCTAAGGGGCCTCGTAGCCTGGTGGATAGCGCGCAGGACTCGTAATTCTGTGGCGCGGGTTCGATTCCCGCACGAGGCAGAAACAAATGGGCAAAGTTTCTTTCACCCTAAGTGCCCCTGTTACCTAGCAGTAAATAGGTACCTGGGAGTTAGTCAGCTGTCACGGGCTGCTTCCTGGGGTGTGTGTGTGTAGTGTGGGAGAAAAAAAAAAAAAAAAAAAGTAGTTAGTAAACAGTTGATTGACAGTTGAGAGGCGGGCCGAAAGAGCAAAGCTCAACCCCCGCAAAAACACAACTAGTAAACACAACTAGTAAACACACACACACACGCGCACACACACACACACACACACACACAGAAATTCACGACCTATCAAGAACACCACAATTGGAACAACATAAGTTAAATGCTCATAACCCCCCAACCACAACAACCACAACCACCACGCTCCACTGTCATGCATAATAAACGTTATTCTGAGTTGCATCAAACCCATGCGTGAGTCTAAAAGAGTCTGAAACTCAGCTCTGAAAGTTTACATCCAACTAGATTCCCTCTCACGGCTGCTGGCGCCCCCTGGAGAACGGATGTGAACTACCATCCCATCCTCTCACTCCTCTCTCGATCTTGTACTCCTTAGTACATCTTTCTGTGGCCGTGTGACGCCTGGAGAGGACGAGTCACCGTACCGTCACTGCCTCCACGGGAGAAGAATCTCTAGGATGGTGGCTCTTGGGGACGTGATGATGCAGTGACAAATTGAAATTGAAATAAGTTTATTGAGGTGAAATACACACAAAGAGATGAGGTAGCTCAAGCTATTCTCACCCCGTTCAGTACATCGTGTTAATACAGATGCAGTGACGAGGTCGATCTCATCCGCGCTCAGCAAGATTATTTTTCTTAAGATATGGCATTCGCAATTGAGATCTGCTATGAGAGAAAACGGGTATGTGTTTACTATCTGTATTTACTACTTGTGTCTCTGCAACATCGAGCTGTTAGCTCTTGGACCCCGCCTTTCTAACCGTCGTTGGATATGTGTATGTGCTTGTGGTAGTTCACTACACAAACTACCACTCGTCAACCTTAATCCAACACGACCAACACAGAAGCTGAGATCAGCTTCTTAGCCAAGTAAAGCTTGTCTTCTAGTAAAGAGAATAACCCTCTTTGCTTTATAATGTTCCCGATCCTCTTGTGTTTCAATTGTTGGTTAATTCGTGAAGTAAAAGTGCAGCTTTAAGGCCCTTGAGGTTATCTTGAGATGATTTCGGGGCTTTAGTGTCCCCGCGGCCCGGTCCTCGACCAGGCCTCCACCCCCAGGAAGCAGCCCGTGACAGCTGACTAACACCCACGTACCTATTTTACTGCTAGGTAACAGGGGCATAGGGTGAAAGAAACTCTGCCCATTGTTTCTCGCCGGCGCCTGGAATCGAACCCAGGACCACACGATCACACGTCCAGCGTGCTGTCCGCTCGGCCGACCGGTTCCAGCTCCCTGTGGAAACGTCTAACAGTATCGGAAATGTTTCACCCCTCCTAGATAGTCAGACATTCCCGTAGTATATAAAACAGTGGTCTAGTGCCTTTAGTGTCGAAAAATGGATTCAACTCACCCCTCTGAATTTTCAATTTATGCAAAAGACTGTGTGTTGTCTGTCCAAACTCTGTGGGGGTTTTCCGTGTGTTTGTGTGAATGTGGGTGTTAGTGTGGCGAGGTTAGAGGTTGTATGTGTCCGTTTGAGGGTGTGTGTGTGTTGTGAATATGTTTGCTTGCTTATATGTGGCGAAGGGGAGCGAGAACTGTCTTCTGGGCCCCATCCTTCCTACCTGTTGTGTATCTTATAATTCCTATATGTCTATGGACAGACCACTCGAAACTGCTCTTATAACTTTGAATATGACAGCAACATCCACGATCTCTACATCCAGTTGGGTCCACTTGATTACCACTAACTTCCATCCGCGCCATAATCCTCTAATCACCTCTCTTGGAATTGTGTCCCTGTCCACGCTATTTATTTCCCCCCACCTACCTGTACGGTGTTGATTAAGGAACCAATAACATCATTACAAAAAAAATTCGAGGGATCCTAAAACAGAGCGGGTATTAAATTCAAATTAAGATTACTTTACAGGATTACAATGTTGTTGTCGTGTGTCTGCTCACTGTTGCCGTCTGCATAGCTAAGAGATTGCAAATCTTTTTTAAGGAATTATTCTTATGGCTAAAATTGCATCACTTGTAAGCATATATAAGACTTGACCTCCAACGGTAATACGTTTACATATATCAGGAATAGCAAGGGTCTAAGTACTCCTCTAATTACTTCCCTTCACTCTGATACTTAGTCTCTCACTCTGATGTTCTGTGTCCTGCCTCGCAGGTACTCTTACATGATTCGCCTTCCCGGGTATTCTAGCCTATTTAGTCTTCACTTATACCGACCTATTATGTGGGGAGAGTAGCAAAGGCTTTATGGACTTTTATTTATGAGATAAATAAAATGCATCTGCATCTTTGCTACGAAGTTCCTTCTCTACAAATAAGAGACTGTCCTCGTTATGGCTTTTTTTGAAACACATTAAAAGAAAATGTTGTTAAGAAATTCCCACCTGTCGTCTTAATTCAACATCAGTACTACGTTCGTTATTTTTTTCCAAATGTCTGAGCTACCAAGTCTATAATGATAAATTGTAGACCCTTGTTAGAGGCTGGTACAGCGGTCCTGCAGCCTCGTTTGTGGTTCGTTGCGATATCTGGTCTGCTCCTGCTGGCCGCGAGGACCTAGACCCACCAGCTGCGTCTCTGTACCCTTGGGAACACCGGTGCTACTCCAGTGTTTGTTTACACACGTCTCTCATCGCTCGTAACCGGTACCCACTGCGGGTCTGCACTCTGTCCCCGGTCCCTTGCCTTTGACGTGGTTTGTTATCACCTCTACACACTCAGAGTTAAGGTGCTCGCTGACCTTAAGCTTCATTACATACTTATTCCTCTTGACGTGTGTCTTGACCTCTGAGAGAACCGGGTCAAGACATACATAAAGAGTCAAAAACATTAAGACACAAAACACAATTGAGGTTCATGTAAAAGTTTGTGAATGAGACTCGAGTCACTTCTTTCTTACCTTTTGTTTTAATTGGAACTTTGTATCTGGGAGCTGATTGATTATTATTTTATCTTTTGTCAACTGTGAGGTTGTTGGGGCCATGTTAGGGTGTGGCTGGTGGTGGAAGACGTGGCTGGTGGCGAGAGGAACTATGGTGAGGGCTCATCTGCCTGCTCAGTAAATATGAGATTAGGTGGTCATGGTGTGCTGGCAGGTGAGCAAGTAGGTGATCATGCAAGAGGGTCGACAGGTGGGTTGTGTCTCTCTCTCAAGAGTGGGTTGGTGGGTGGGACAGGAGAAACAAGAGCAAAGCGGTGTGAAGACCAAGAGAAAAATAGAACCATTTCGAAACGACAAGAAGAGCTTGTCTTCAGCACACATGCACAGATGTGCAAATAAAGAGCGCTAATGACGTCTCAGGAACACACAGAGTGCGTGATGGGCTAAACACACAGTTTAAGAAAGGGCTCATTACTAATTTGTGAGCTTATCCAGTCTAAAGTATGATTTAAATAATACGTTTATATAACGTTTTTAGATTGCTCTGAAATGGTACATTGAGGCTGAAATGTGTGATGAATTATGAGCAGGAGTGTACAGGTGACAATATATTTGGATTTAAATTCTCTCTCTCTCTCTCTCTCTCTCTCTCTCTCTCTCTCTCTCTCTCTCTCTCTCTCTCTCTCTCTCTCTCTCTCTCTCTCTTGACCTGTGAACTTTTCATCTTCGTGACAGCTTTCACTTCCTGGCGTGAACGGAGGACAGGCGCCCAAAGAAAGGGTAAAATGTCAAAACAATCGAGTATGGGAAAAGTGTTTTCACTTTATTTTCACGATTTCTAGCCACCGAGTGTATCACTGTAGGTTTGTGCTTGGGCGATGTTGTTTGCGTGTTCGTGTGTCTATGTTTGCCTGTTCGTGTGTCGTTGTTTGTACTCACCTACTTGTGCCTACAGGATCGAGCTCTAGCTATGTGTTCGTGAGTCATTGTTTGTTTGTGTCATTCTTAGTGTATGGGTGCGCACTCAGTTATGCTTGTGGGGGATGAACTTCGGTTCTTTGGTCCTCGCACTGTTAGTCCTCACTTTCAGCGTTGCCCAATCGTTTCTTTGCTCCATTTTTGTTTAGTCTTATTAGCCATTATCATTTCCCTCCTGGTTCATTTTTCCTCCAGTGGAGTAAGAGCAGCTCTCAGAGTTTTTCCTCATATCTCAGTCCCTTCATATCTGAAGCATGAGATATCGTTGAGCATTTTCTGTGTTTTGTTTTAACGGTTTTTTCAGGTGTGGGATTCATACTGGGGCTGCATACTGGACAGTGGTTCTCACGGACGTTCTCTGTAACTCTGAGAAGACTCCTTTTTTCTTTACAAGCAGTTTTTTGTATTATTATTTTCGTGTGTATTATTTAGTGTTTTTACATCTTGTAATGTCTCAAGGTCTTCCTCTGTTCTTATTCTTCCCGTTTTTTGTAATCATCAGCAAAGATTGATATGAAGGCCGTTTGCTCTGTTTGGCAGTTGACGTGTGTTAAGGGCAGGATGGTACAAGTGCCAATACCTGTGGCCCTTCACTAGCTACCTCACTCCACTTTGATATATCTCCGCTTTCACTGTGACCCTTTGTTTCCTCACCGAGAGGTACTCCCTTACACAACTGAACACACTTCCAATTTTTGTTTTAACTTGAATAAAAGTCTGAATGAGAGACAGGTCTAAAGCTTAACATCCAAGAGAGAGAGGGAGAGAGAGAGAGAGAGAGAGAGAGAGAGAGAGAGAGAGAGAGAGAGAGAGAGAGAGAGAGAGAGAGAGAGAGGGAGAGAGAGAGAGAGAGAGGGGGGGGGGTCGGAGGGGTGCCTGCTACCTCATTGGACACAAATAATAAATGACAGCCACTGATCCGTTTAATATCCCGGATTTTGCTTCTTTCACGAGAATCTAAATTGAACAGTCCCGAGTCTGTTTACAGAAAACTGCCTCTCATCGCGTCATGGAGGAAAGTGAGACGCGCACACACACACACACACACACACACACACACACACAGAAGAACACCAGAAGAACTACAGGAATTCAATGTGACAAAAGCTGTGGCACCAAACAAAATATCGCCTGGGATACTAAAAGAGGCAGCTGAAGCACTGTGCAACCTACTTGCCACAATGTTTAATTCCTCTCTAGAAACGGGAGAACTTCCTGACTGTTGGAAAATAGCTAATGTGGTGCTAATTTAGAAGAAAAGGGGAAGACAGAAACCATTAAAGTTCAGACCCGTTTCACTAACACGTATTCCCTGCAAGTTGCCAGAGAGAGACTGATCCTATACTTGCAAGGAGTCCGACAAGATGACATAAATCAAACAAGAGCGAGAGGGACAAGCAGACTGCATATTCTTCGACTGTCAGAAAACATTCGATACAGTCCCGCATGAAAGACTCCATCTCAAACTAGAGAAGCAGGCTGCTGTACCGGCAAGAGTTCTATGGTGGTTCAGGGAGTATCTCTCAGGAAGGAAGCAAAGGGGTTACAGTGAGAGCAGAGACATCAGAGTGGAGAGAGGTTACAAGTGGAGTACCACAAGGGTTGGTTCTAGGGCCCATCCTGTTTCTAATATATGTCAAAGGGTTATAGTGAGTCCATCCTGTCTCTAATATATGTCAAAGGATTATAGTGAGAGCAGAGACATCAGAGTGGAGAGAGATTACAAGTGGAGTACCACAAGGGTTGGTTCTAGGGGCCCATCCTGTTTCTAATATATGTCAAAGGGTTATAGTGAGTCCATCCTGTTTCTAATATATGTCAAAGGATTATAGTGAGAGCAGAGACATCAGAGTGGAGAGAGGTTACAAGTGGAGTACCACAAGGGTTGGTTTTAGGGGCCCATCCTGTTTCTAATATATAACAATAACCTCGGAGAGGAAGTTTACTCCTATATATCAATGTTTGCAGATGATGCAACCCTGTCCTAACTCTTCTCATGAATACACAGATTACACATACATGAACTATACATGCAATATCGTCTCAATGATAGACAAAACTAACAGTATGTTAGTAGCCAAGACATAATTAGTAGTTAGTTAGTAGCCAAGACATTCAGTTAATTTCATTTGTGGCTTCAAGGCGAGTATAATTCACATATTATTACGACATCGCAGTATTTTTCTGTAAACAATTTTTTAGTCAGCTAGTGTTAAACGATCTCACAGCTCAGCCTGATCTGTAGCTGGGAAGAATGCATGAGTTTATTGGTAATTAGCGAACAATGGTAGGAGAGATGGAGCATGTTATTAACGTGAGTGCCTAGAGTGCCTTCCACCCCCCCCCCCCCCCTCAAGGGCCACGTTACTCCACCGGTCAAAATATATCACATTCTCCTCAGAGACAGTAAATAGACGGACGGATATATATATATATATATATATATATATATATATATATATATATATATATATATATATATGTCGTACCTAGTAGCCAGAACACACTTCTTGGCCTACTATGCAAGGCCCGATTTGCCTAATAAGCCAAGTTTTCCTGCATTAATATATTTTCTCTAATTTTTTCTTATGAAATGATAAAGCTACCCATTTCATTATGTACAAGGTCAATTTTTTGTATTGGAGTTAAAATTAACGTAGATATATGACAGAACCTAACCAACCCTATCTAACCTAACCTAACCTTTCTCTATAGGTTAGGTTAGGTTAGGTTGCCGAAAAAGTTAGGTTAGGTTAGGTTAGGTAGGTTGGGTAGTCAAAAAACAATTAATTCATGAAAACTTGGCTTATTAGGCAAATCGGGCTTTGCATAGTAGGCTAAGAAGTGCGTTCTGGCTACTAGGTATATATATATATATATATATATATATATATATATATATATATATATATATATATATATATATACATGGATAGATAGATGGATGGGTAGACGGATATAGATGAATATATAGATGGATATATATAGATGAGTAGATGAATGAACCCGATCAGGGTTCGAATCTACATTTCCGGGGATCACCCCTCTTCACCCCCGGCGCACACAACACCGTACCCACTTCGTGCTGCGTATGCCAGAGGGGGTGAGCCCTGGAAATACAGATTCGAACCCTGGTTGGGTCTGCAGGTTCGACAAAAACGAACTAATGTAAAGTAATGACGCTTCATGAGTGTACGAATCACCCAGTTTATAGAACCAGTCTGCAGAATGTTAACTGATGTTCAGGAAACTTTCCTCGACATAGTTAAGTTTATCAAACTTTCTCTATCTTATTAACTTCCATTAAATATACTGAACTATTATTTGATAACATTTTATATTTGTGTGTATATGTTTATATACTGCAGACCTATTGAATATCGTGTAGGCCTGCTGAATATCGTGAAGGCCTATTGAATATAGAGCAGGAATACTGAATAGAGTGTAGGACTGCTAAATATAGGGGTTTGTGTAATGTAGGCCTACTAAATATAGGGGTTTGTATAATGTAGGCCTACTAAATATAGGGGTTTGTATAATGTAGGCCTACTAAATATAGGGGTTTGTATAATGTAGGCCTACTAAATATAGGGGTTTGTATAATGTAGGCCTACTAAATATAGGGGTTTGTATAATGTAGGCCTACTAAATATAGGGGTTTGTATAATGTAGGCCTACTAAATATAGGGGTTTGCACACATGTTGACTGAAAAGTATTAATGTTGACGGTTATCAACATGCAATATTGAATGTTGCCAGCTATTTCACTAATCACCTTGTAGTTTGTTCTGCACAAATGTAGGTGTATAGACACATGAATGTGCTCCCATATTTGAGCCTAAATGATTTTTGACTGAATAAATTTAATGAGAGACAAATAATGACATTATGAGGAATGAGTTTATACTGTATTCTCTGATTTTTTTTTGGCTGATCATATAAAAAAAAAAGCTCCCATTGATCATCTATTTTTTTAATACAATAAATGATATACAAAAGCAGATTCAGTGCATAACCTTAAATAAGAAATATAAATAATGTCAAAACATTACTTTTTGATAAGGAAAATATAAATAGATTAATAATTATTGGCGTAAATAATATATTTTTTAGTAAAGGCAGCATTTTGTTCTGTGAAAGATGAAGCCAAAACGCTTAAGCAATGTTAAAAGGAACTTAATACTCGGGGGTATGTAAATGCCGAAACCTTCAGAGTTTAGAGAATTAATCAATAGATGGCGCTGTTCTGGTGGTACCTGGCTACACATACACATACACATCTCAGTTACTGTACTAGAGACCTTCCCATCTTCCTTCTCGGGTCTTTGTAATGCCTTACTGCAAGCTGTTCTCAGACCAAGTTCATTCCATCCAGGAGTCGACTCCAAAGACGCATTCATCAATTTAACATTTTTTTCATTCAAAACAGAACTTTTCTCAAATATATATTAATATTATCATATATTAGCATATTGTGCATATTTAGGCACTGGTTAGGTTAGGTGTTTAAGTTCCGTTGGCGATTATTTGTGTTTGTAGTACGTTGGTGAAGCATTTACAGCGTTGTGGTTCGAACAAAAGTCGTCAGTGAAGCACTTGTTCCGGGAGTGCTCGAACGTCATCGAGTTTCAGCTCTAAGCAATCTAATGCTACTATTCTTATAAACAACATCGAAGTGCCTCGGAGATCTTAAGCCGTTTAAAAATGTAAACAAAGCCACAATGACTAAGGTTACGTAAATGCTTACATTTCCTTGTTTAATGGGCACTTCAGCGGCTCTTGTGTTCGTGCGGTATAAACTGCAGAGTTGTACTGCCGCCCTCGCTGCGACGACCACTGTCGCTGCTCCACTACAAGAGGTACACCACGTTAATGACTCTAGCTGTATGTGTGTGTGTGTTTTTGTTTGTGTTTGTGTGTTGTGTGTGTGTGTGTGTGTGTGTGTGTGTGTGTGTGTTGCGTGTGTGTGTGTGTTTGTGTGTGTGTGTTTTGTTTGTGTGTTTGTGTGTTTTTGGTTTGAGAGTGAGCCATGATTTCTGGCTTGAATGCGAGTCCTGACATTAACTGATGACTCTGTCACCTCTCCACGCGTCCCCATATGAACGCATCCACGTTCTCGTCACCCGGCTCATTTATGCGTGAGGACAGTGTTGAAGTAGTTCTGTAATTACCCCCATTGCTTGTTGTCTGATAAAACGCCCTGGAGGAGAGGCTGGAGACTTGGAGGAGTTAGGGGATCCATCAGGCTCTGATGGGTGTAAGTCTCCGGGTTGTGAAGTGCGCAAACACTTTGGCATTTGGAGAAGATCATTAGTCCAGGGCACATAATGAGTAGTTCAGTGGTTTAGTGACCAGTGTTGTCTGTAACCGTATGTCTGTGGATTATAGTACTCTCGAGCACTGCTTCCTTCTGTAACCTGTTGGTAAACACGGTGGTGCTAGTTACTGCTCATGCTTTTAGGGAAGTGGTTATTGAAGGGAGGGTTTTGTGTGTAGTCCTGGGTATTGTCTACAGGCACCTGATGATCGTATATTTTCACTGTACCGTCTACTGACATGTCACTGTGATTTAATAGAAGCACAGTGGTTACTGCGCTGTGCTGAGGGGTCCGTTATCTTGACTTAAGAGTTGTTGGTTATAGGTTTGAGAGTTTGTACTAATTATGAGTTGTAAATGTTTAAACATACACATGCGCGAGCACATACACAACCTTTCAAGTGCTATATACAACCTTCGCAAGACCTACTTTTATGTATGTAGCCACACCGTAAAAAAAAAAAAAGCTGGAAAAAGTCCAAGGTTATGTAAAAAGACTTGATCTTGAGCCGAGAGGCCCGAGCTACGAGGGCAGGCTGAGGGAACTGATCCTCGCCACATTGATGGACAGGAGAAGTTAGAGGTTACACAATAATAATATTCAAGATTTTAAGTTTAATTGCTAAAATAGTCAAAACCCCAATGAATAAAACGATAAACAGCACAACAATGGCACAAAAATAGAAGGTAAACAGTAATGAACTTACGGGTCTCGGAAAGAACTGTCAACAAAGAATGGATTACTTAAGGAAGTGTTGAAGCTGGTTCATTACTGTTTTATATGTAAATGTGAGGATAAAAAAGGCGCGGGGTTCGTGACCCGAGGCTCAAAGCAGCACTAGGCTGCTTGGACTACTAAGCAAGTAATTTTTTAAACATTTTTTTGTCAATTTTACTATAAATTATCTACTTTATAATTGTTAGTTTAAGAACGTACCCTAAACGCTATGCGCGCTAGTGGCTTTACAAGAATGTAAAAACTTCATTTCTATGGTCTCTTAACCCCCAGTGTACCGTCTTATATATAAATAAATAAGTAGTGCAAGCAAAACTCCCTAGTAGCAGCAGTAGGCTGTACTAAGCGAGTACGCACTGAACCCCACAAGAGTACACACCACTCTTCAACACGCGATCAGGAAGTGACGAAAGCGAACCATAAAAACGAACAAGTTGGATGGAATGCGATAGGAATTCTGATGCCTGACGGACATTAGGTTACACTCGGCCGCTTGTGTCGGTCGCTGCTGCTTCTCTGCGCGCACCGTTCTCGCCCTTGTGTCTGCCCTCGCCAGAGGTGCTGCTTAATATTATCGTCTGATTGTTTATGATGCGACCATCTTCTCGTGAACTGTGTTACAGCTCCGGTGTCGGGCACACAGTGTGTAGGGGGGGGGGGGTGTAGTGAGTGTGTGGGGGGTGTAATGGGTGTGTGGGGGGGTGTAGTGTGTGGGGGGGTGTAGTGAGTGTGTGGGGGGTGTAGTGAGTGTGTGGGGGGGTGTAATGGGTGTGTGGGGGGAGTGTAGTGAGTGTGTGGGCGTGGTGTGTGTGTTAATGCTATCTATCCTCAACAAACTGAATTATTAAAAATGAGAATTACAGTATAATTATATTTATTTAAGGTTAACCATATAATTACCATTTTTCTGAGACAAGGGCTTTCAAAGAAAATGCATTTATGCTGAATATAAAAGGCGTAGTCTTATGTAAAATGGCAATCGCGACCAAACTGCTGTAATTGATATTATAATTGTATTGAGGTACAGGCAACCAGTGTATATATACATGTTAGGCTTATATCGACTGCCATCCTTTCCCCCTCCTCCTCCTGGTAAAGTCAAACTACTGACTCTCCCAATTAAGGATGCAACCCCACAACAAGCTTTTGTCCTCCAAATAGCACGTCGTATTTTGACGCATACTCTACTTAAGACCAAAAGCTGCCGTTCTAGAAAATGGAAGCGGTTTGCGAAATTGACGTACCCTCCCGTTTTCTGTTTTGGGACCTCTGGTAGGTTAGGATAAGGGCACTTTAGTGCGACAGTTTCTTGACGTTGGAAAACCTTATAACTGGCTGGTGAACTCCTTAATTTACTGCTAGGTGAACAGCGTGCATTAGGTAAAAGGAAACGAGCTTAACCATATGGATTATATATGGATTCCACGCTGGAGCTGCATACTCCACGATTGGTCTGACATGTGTGATATACATAGTTTTGAATTTATTTCTTAAATTTCTAAAGTTTAACTTATCCCGTGTATAAGCGGTGCTGGAATACCATTAAGCGTTTTGTTGTCTACAATCACTAATGTTAAACTTGGTGACCTCACCTGATTGGCCAATTGCTGCAAGTGACACGGGTTTGAATATAAACTTATCCTCTTATTACAGTCTCCGTGGTGTAGTGGTAAGACACTCGCCTGGCGTTCCGCGAGCGCTATGTCATGGGTTCGTATCCTGGCCGGGGAGGATTTACTGGGCGCAATTCCTTAACTGTAGCCTCTGTTTAACGCAACAGTAAAATGTGTACTTGGATGAAAAAACGATTCTTCGCGGCAGGGGATCGTATTCCAGGGACCATAGGATTAAGGACCTGCCCGAAACGCTACGCGTACTAGTGGCTGTACAAGAATGTAACAACTCTTGTATATATCTCTTCGCTCAGAGTACTTGTACAAGGTTTAAAGAACTGTATTAATACCCCTATCAATCGTGAATCATATTCTATGTATATACAAAGATATCGGATACTAACTCTTACACTGTAGGAGTGTGTGAGTGACTCACTCATTGTGTTGGTGAGGTCGACCACAACAATGACCTGTTAAGGTTATCTTACACATGCACGCGACGAGTTGGCTCCATTAAGGCTAAGCTGACGGTGGTGCTCTTGCGTGCTTTCCAGTAGTTATCGAGAAATACTTTTACGTGTCATTAATTGACGATAGCAAATATGTTTCAGTACTAGACACTAATAAATTTAAAAGAAGATCGCCTTTTTAAAAAACTACAAACTTTTAAATTAAATGAGGTTCCCGAAAGGCTGACTTTTTAAACGTCGCGCTTAGTATCAGAATAAAAAAATGAAGAGGGTCACAGAAGCTTCTCCTCTACTCCCTAAGAGTGTGGAGAAAGTGAACGCTGACGGCTGCTCCTTGCCAACAAAATGCTCGAATTTCTTCGGGATATTCAGCCAGATTACTGTTGAACCTGTCATGTTCGTTGCTACCATGTGTGTAGGCATTGAAAATGTTTTCCTGGTCAACCTTTGGGTCGACAAGGAGTGTCAGCGTCTCAGTTACAGCCAAGATGTCTGCCAGCACTTGGATTCTGGAGAGCACCAAGTGGAGCAGGACGCCGTGCAGGAGAGAGCTGACAAAATGAATTCGGTGTACGGCCTGTGGATCCAGAATCTGCCTACTGTGTTCGTAGTGCTGATCCTTGGAGCCTGGAGTGATACTCGTGGCAAACGAATGCCCATCTTTTTGCCCATACTTGGATTTTTCTTGAAAGCTATTGGTGTCTTAGTAAACTGCTTGTGGTGGGATTTGCCTCCAGAATACATTTTGTTGGCCTACACTCCGTACGGATTTTGTGGGGGACTAATGGGAGTGGCCCTTGGCGCCAGCGTCTATGTAAGTGCCATCACATCTCGGAGGTCTCGTAGCAGCCGAATTACAATTTTAAACGTCATAGCCGTTATGGGGGTTCCCACAGGGAATGCCTTTGGTACGTTCGTGTATGAGAGATACGGATACAATTACGTTTTCGGGGGAGAAATTGTACTGTGCCTTATTTGCATGATATATATCTTAACCCGACTTGAGACATGGCCAGGTACCCGGTCCCTGCACACACACCCGGAGCGAGTCGACAGGGGCAGCGTGTGGGAGGTTCTCAAGCCCGCCAGACTGGCAGAGACGGCCACTGTGGTCTTCAAGAAGCGTGAGAATGGCGCGCGAACGCAGATAGTCGGCCATGTCGTCATCATTTGGTTCCTCCTGTTTGATAGTGGTAAGCTTTTGTTTTGGTCTAAATTATTCATCACAATATTGTAAATACCTGTGTGATCTTGCACGGTTTATTGCAATGTATATTTTATGATAATTCTAATAACAAATATTATGATTTTTCAAAAGATCTTTAATATTTGTATATTTTGTCTGTGGCTCTAAACACAGCTTAAATGGGGTGATGTGAATTTCCCCTGATACTTCCCACAGCCTGTAACCCCACTCCCCCCCCCCCCCCTTCCCCCACACAGCCTGCATCCTATACCATCTTATACCCACACCACTAGATACTTGAAGCCCATCATGGTGCAGTGGGTAATGAGTATTTTAGACGAGTCCAGAGACACGAATTCACTCTTTTTGCCGTAATATTTGTTTCGTATCTAAATCTATGAAAGATAAATTTGTCTGTTAAGAGGCCAAACACTTGGGTCTAACCTCACTAAACTTCTCAAGTGTGACTAGGTCTGTTTTTCCCCCTCGACAGGCGTGTTTCAATTCGAATTTCTGTACACGAGGAAGAAGTTTGGATGGGACTACTTCACGTACACCCTCTTCAGCATCACCAAGTCACTAATGCGCGCCATGGGTAAGCGCACATATTTTCAGTTACAATAATAATTCGTTTTGTCGGGGAAAAGTTTGGGTTGTTGTTGGAGGGGTGTTGAGTGGGAGTGATATCTTGGGCAAACTAGTGCTATGTCTAGACACTTGGAGGGCATATATTTATCATAGAAATATACGGGTGTAGGTGGGTTAAATTGTGCGTTGAATTAGGTCGTGAAGAATATATTCAGTCGTGGGTGGGGGGGAAGCATACATTATACGACACTTATTGATTGCTGGGCAGTGAGTGTATATGCAGAGTGGGGGGGGGGGGGGAAGAGTTGTTGACACCATAAGCACAGTAATGGGATTGGTAGGCAACAGTCGTTTTACCCCTAATTGCACTAGGGCGGATTCACAGAGCTCTTACGTGTTCACCTTCTGTATTCGTATCTCTTATCTCGGACATGGCGGCTTTCTCCGTATTTACTAAACTGTTTTAAGAGATGGAAGTTTTCCCTTGACATAATAAAACTTACACATGTCCAAGTTCTTCTGAAGTGTACAACTCGTTCACTGCCGAGTCCCTTACTGCCAGTTTAACAGTAGAAGTTATGTTTCTATAACTCTTATGAAATATGTATTTTGGGAAAAAGAGAAATAAATATCAGAATAAGATATGAACCAGAGAAGCAAGATATAATTACATGGCACATGTTTACCCACAATGTTACAAGCTTGCCAGTCACGCAAGAAATGCTTCAGATTCAATAAATCCATGGCAAATCAAATATTGAAGCCTATGGCGGCTAAGAAGCTGCCATAGGCTTCCTGTCCTCGTCAAGGTCACTAGTGTTAGTGGCCCTCGGGTAACAGCCAACCATGTCTCATTATTGATAATTAATATCTCAGGGAAACATTAAAACACTCCCGCTCCTGCTCTTAGTACTGTAAAGTAATCCGCGCGTCTGTGGCATGTTACACTAAACACAAAGTGTACCTTTGCAAATGTTAACGTTATGTGAAATATCTGGTCGGGATATTTTAAATATTAAGTGGAGAGTAGATTTTGAGAGCGCTGCGCTTTGAAATTTTCTTTCATATACTCTCAACAAAAACACAAATCGACTTTCTCTTTTACAGGGAGCTTCGTAATAATGCCTACGATGAGCTACCGGTTTAGAGTGGAGGACTCCCTGCTAGGCTTCACTGGCGCTGCCTCGTACATGTTCCAGTACATCATCACCGCCACGGCGCCTGTTGGATGGGTCCTCTTTGTGGGTAAGTTCATGAGTACAGCTGCCCACTGCTGGTCACTCGTAGGCTGTTATCTTGCAACTTGAGCAGGAGTTCTTACCTAATAATTGTGCTTATGAGGATTGAGTTTAGGCTATTTGGTCTCTCCCAATATTCAATCTTGGTCTTGTCTTTGATTTTCACATATGTATGGAGTTGGATTTTAGAATTCAGCAGTGTTTTGGCATTTACGGTTCCGTCGAGTAGGCGGTTCCATGGGTTTGAGTGAAAAGGCATCTCTTGTTTTCAGTCTTACATTGTGGCTTGTTGAGCTTGTAACTGTTGCTCTTTGTTACATCTGACCTTTCGAAGTTGTTGTCCAGACCAATATCCTCCAAATTGTTCAGTATTTTAAGAGTTTTGACAAGATCAGTCCTGTCATGTCTGGTTTGCAGTGTTAGCCCTGTGGCTCTCAACCGTTCCTGGTATGAGAGTCGAATTAGTAATGGAATGAATTTTGTCGCCCGATGTTGAGCTTTCAACAAAGTATCTTATCTCTCTGAAGATGTCTCCGTGCTTGGATACAATTTAAAGTGCGGGAGCGCCAGAGATTTATTCAGTTGAATAACTGCCCTCTTTTTTTTTTTTCCTAAAGTCAATGGTTCGCTTGACTGTTCCTAGGGTTTAGTTAGCACGTTTTCTTTCGTAGTTTTTTTTTGGGGGGGGGGGCTGATCAGATTTCCTAGGTGACTGAATTTAACGGTCCTTTCTATAAATCTCTCAATCTAGTATGTTCATCATTGATTTATACCTTCTCTTAAGGGGTTCAGTTTATCGAAACTCTATTAATTGACTATCATCTATCTAATACCCTTTCTTTTATTTCTCCTTTTTGGTGCATTTTTGGACGAGTTCAATTACATTTTTTTAATTTTCCCATGAGGCTTCCATGTCATGATTACTCCGTTCCCTCCAGGAATTTTTGCAATTCATCTCTCATTCCTTGGACCGGGCGGTAGATCGACGGTCTCGCTTCATGCTGATCAGCAACTTTTTATATTGTTGCTGTGTCAACCCTGAAGCATACTCCCACTATCAGTCTGCTACCTTTGTTGTTGTAGCACGGGCTATGGTGAGCCCGTTATGGACTTACCTGGCACAGGAGCGGGGCTGTAACTGTGTCTGCATACCATTCTGCCCGAAACGCTGCGCGTGCTAGTGGCTTTACAAGACTGTAATTACCATATTTGTATCCTCACATTCCTTATGTACATTCTTGTATATGCATAAATAAATAAATAAATAAATAAATTTTCAGATAGTATGTTACCGAATACAGATTCCGAGGATCCTACGGTGTTCAATTCCTCTGTTGGTTGCATTAAAGTCCTCTTTCACGTACTGCATTACTCCTCCGGCTCTTATTGTTCTGTCCTTTCTGAATGGTGCGTCTCGCTTCATGCAGGTCGGCGTTCAATCCCCGACCGTCCAAGTGGTTGGGCACCATTCCTTTTTCCCCCGTCCCATCCCAAATCCTTATCCTGACCCCTTCCCAGTACTATAGTCGTAATGGCTCGGCGCATTTTCCCTGATAGCCCCCTTTCTTACTGAATGGTGTATGGTGTCCTGGAAGATGGAATTTCCCATCAATTGTATCCTCTCGTCTCCCATGCTTTGCTAAGGCCAAAGATTCTCCGCCTCGCGAGGTCTGGTGTTGGTGAGTCAGGAGTGTGGTGAGTAGCGTTGAGATAGTTCACCCTTGATGCTACCTGCTGGGCTGATTAACCTTATCACCTTATCAGGTCATTCAGGAGAACGTGATTATAAAAAGTTTAAATGTAATGTTGAAGGGAATGAATTACACACACAATGGCAACAAGAACACAGTTATAGAAACGTTGGTTAATAGGTCTTGATTCACTAATGTCGTAAATTATATCTGGTTACAATATATAAGCCTCTAGTTATGACTACAAGACTATATCCGTAAGAGAGCCTGTCAGTCTTGGATGCCAGATGCTTTGGGGCTAAGCTATCTACCTTGTCTACCTTGTGTAGCTTGTAGGGATCAACGGCCCCGCGGCCGGGTCTCCGACCAAGCTTCCCGGTTGGTCGTCTTATCAACCAAGTTGTTCGATGCGGTTGCTCACAGCCTGACGTATGAATCACAGCCTGGTTGATCAGGTATTCTTTGGCGGTGTTTCAATAGTTCTCTCTTGAACACTGTGAGAGGCCGGCCAGTTATGCTGTGCTCCTTACATGTAGCAGGAGTGTGGCGAAAAGTCTTGGGGGGGTCCTTCATGTTGCTTATTCTCCCTCAGCGTACCAATTGTATTTTTGCTTTTCAATGGGACCCGCCAGGACCTACTGGTTTCATGTGATGTAATCTCCGTGTTCAGATTTGAAACCAGTCTAAAAGAATTTGGACTTTCAACCAGATTTGGAACCTGCACCAGTCTGGGCCTGGTGCTGAGTGCGTGGGCATGCTGTCTATGGCTACTCCAAAGTCCAGTGGGATCAGGGTGATATCTGATATGTGATTCCATATTGGTGTCACATTCATTAAGAATTCATTTGAATCATTGATCTTCAAATGCGTTCCGAGGTTCACTGAAAACAGAATCGTGAAGCCTCAATATTTCACGCATTTCTTTGTCATCTGAGAAAGTGGGGGGGGGGGAAACTCGGCCAGTTTTTCAGGGTAAATGATCTGGGGGTTCAGGACACACAGGTTGGTCTGGATTGCCAGAATTCAAAAGGAAACACGATGCTACAGTGACATACTGATCCCTCACCGAAGGCTGACCCAACACCTTCCTACAGATTCAAAGAAAATAGAGAACTATTGTGATTTTAGTATTTCTCATGCTAGGCTCCTCCCATCTGCTGACCCACCCACATGACAATGAGGCACTATTATATTATTTTTGTAAGTGAGCGATAGATTCGGAGGCCTGCACAGATACCGAGTCGACGAGGGTAAAGAGAGGTGGGAAGACAGGCAGAAAAACCCAGACAACAACAACAACACAAACAGAAATATGAAAAGGAAAAGGGGAGAAAGGGAGGGGGGACGAGGGGGGGGGGTGTTTAAAAGAGAGGGAGGTGGGAGAAAAGTTGGAGCGAGAAAGAAAGTTAGCGACGAAAGGTTGATATTGTAAATGACTTGGTTAAATAGACTGCTCTTGGTATGTGGTAATCTGGTATATAATAATAATATTATAGGAGATCGGAACTGTTTGGATTATAGAGTTCCCTCTTATCAAGGAGGAGGCTGTATATGACGTCCCTTATCCAATCACCAGCCAGACAAATGCTGCTTAATCTGGTTGATTTAATGATGTGAACATCATCCTTTCACAGCTGTTTAGCATCAACCTATTGTGCTGCTACCAGCTGTCCCAGTTTCCACATCTTTTTACTACTTGGAACATTTCCAATTTGCAGCTCGCTGGCATTCTAGTGTTGACCTTTGTAGCATTTGTTCATGTACAGGAATTTGGGTGATATGATAAGATTCAAAGATTAGACTTTGATAAGATTGGGAGTTTAGCAGTTTTGGATGTTTACTTAATATAGTCTTGGTTACAGCAGTTTGTTGTTGTAAATGCAATGAATTGTTGGGATAGTCGAGATGAGGTCTGGAGCAGAGAGCTCGAATGCAGGCAAGATAGAAAAGCTTTAATATGGGACGAAAGCAATAGTTCGAGTGCGGCCGGAATGTGACTCTCTGCCCTGTGGCAAGGTTGTAACCTCTTGAGAGTAGGAACTAGAATCAATGAGTGTTACATTGTTGTTAGCTGGCCTGCTCGATCCTCTACCCTTGTGAAGAAATTTATTTTAATTAGTGCATGTAGGATTTGTGTAGAACTTTTTGGAATGTGGAATTCTTATGGAGAAGTTAAGTGGAATTAACAGGCATATCCATGAAATTTCTGAGAATTTGGAGAAATTATATTACTCTTAATATAATTGCTACAACCTTCAACTTTGCTCTACGTAATCTCCATGTTGGATTGTTATTTCCCTACTTGGTTTATTTTCAATATTAATATTTTAATTTGTACTTCACTGATCTATGCTACCTTGTTTTGAAACTAGAATTGCTATCTTATTACCAATTCACTTGCATGTTATTTACATGCATAAGATGTCCTGGACGAATGTAAACACACACACAATTAGGTGACATGATGGCTCACTAACAGATCAAACATGTAAACTCAACCAGATAACAAATTTAAGGTATTTTGGTAAAACATACAAGCATTATAGTTTTCAGTTATACTTTGTGTGTTTAGCTGGGGTAGCCTCCTGCTGCTGTGACATGAGCTTCGGGTCATCCCGTGGGGCTCTCTCTAAGCTGGTGACAGAGGAGGAGCTGGGAGCCATCTTCTCCATCGTGGCCGTGGGTGAAGCGGTCCTGCCTCTCGCCAGCGGTCCTCTCTTCACTGCCGTCTATAATGCCACACTCGACGTCTTCCCCGGTGCCATTTTTGCCCTTACATCCTGCTTCTTTGCCATCATCTGCTGCCTGTACACGTAAGTTTGAATTCAGGTTGCGGGTTTTCTGGAATTCAACTGCTGAATAGAACATTTCTTAGGGCCTTCAGGTTGGGGCTCTCGGGATTTAAGAGTGGTATCTACATACGTTCCAAAGTAGGAATAATAACAAACGAAGTAGAGCTAGACATTTTGAATTTATAGTGATGCATAGCCTTCCTGGCTTGGTGTTTTCTTTTGATAATTACTTACTTTGAATTTATAGTTAGCTATATAATCCATAACATTGCTTGCATTAGTCGTCAATTAAGGTTATCTGATATCCTCTCCAAATGCTGGGATTAACAGTTTCACATTTTCAACAGGTGGTTGATGACTCGCCCTGAAAGACCATTGCCTAATAATGTCAAATTTTTTGTTCGCTAGCTCGACTACTCATACACCAAGAAAGTGAACAGGTGCACATCAGTTCTGCTAGTCCAAGTATATTTTTTTTGTTTGAACTGCCACCACCTTAAGTCATAAGTAACCTTAAAAAATAAAACAGATTTAACATAGTCTTACAGTATTATTAGTTGAGACACTAGAACTTGATTGCATCTAACTGTAGTTAGAAATATAAAATAAGTATAAACAAAAATGGAGATGAGAAATTTTATCCAAATTAACTTGGCCTCAAAAATAAAAAGAATATATAACATTGTCCATCATTCCTATTACAGTATTTATACCCTGTATATCCCATCTACTATATGTATGTATGTTATATATATAATTTTAAATAGTTATGTCTGAGATTCTGGGCAAGATGCTTGAAGTTAGCTTCACCTAATTTTTTCTCGGTAATTATTGTTGGGTACATGCCTAACAAGGACAGATAGGGATAGATGTAAAAGAAAAGGGTGCCTTCTGACACATGTGCCAAACGTTTCCCAAAACAAATTCTTTGAATACCATTGACCTGAATACCAGAATTTTTTTTTTTTTTTTTTTTGTCATATCGTAAAGGATTGTGATGATCACACCCAAATTTTCAACATACAGTACTTTGACCTTAATAGGCAAATCTGTGTTTTTTCGAGCAGCACCAGGTACCCACAATGCTGGTTATCTTGAGGTTACCTGCTGTTGATTCTGGGTGTCAAGATCCCCACAGCCCAGTCTCTGACCAGGCCTCCTGATTGGTCTGGTTTTGTCAACCAACCTCACTCTGCTCAATAGAACACGTGCACATGCGCGAGCGTGTACGTTCGTCCGTCCAAAGTTGGTGCCTTCTTTTGGTAATCACCTACCACATGTTTAGAATCTGCACCTGCATCTCTCCAACACCCACCCACCTGATGTCCAGCATCTATATACCCTTTCCCGAGTGAGTGAATGACAGAAAGACAGAGACAGTAGTTTCGAAGCATCTTTCAAAGCATGACAAGTTTACTGGGAAAACAGGACACTATGAGAGTAGCTCTCATGGTGTCCCATAATTACCTGTGTAATTATTGGTAATTATGCTTGGGTAGTTACACACAAATGGAACTGTGTAACAAAATGGAGCTGGAAAAGCTCCAGGCTTGGCCAGGACCCCTGACATCAAAAAGAATAGTCTTTCAGACTCGGAGCCTTTTGATAATTACTTTATAATATATAATGATTACTTTCAGCACTAAACGGTTAACTTCATAAATTCCAAAATACCACTTCTGGTTTGCCACATTATTTAAGATGCTTATCACAAGAGGAAACAATAATTTATGACGATATATTAATGGTGGTTACTTTATTATGTATCTAGAAAAATAGCAGCAATATTACAAGTTCCTTATCCTTTCATCTTTAGATAAAGCCTGTGAAAATTCTATTACTAACAATTAACAACTTTCATATATTCAAGAGAATGTACATTTTACAATTATTTGGAAAAGTAAGCAAAAGTTATGCAAGACTAATAAAGCATTAACAATCTGTGAGGACAAGGTACATCAGAAAACTACTTTTAGTAGAAATCTTTCCCAATGTATTTAAGAGTTCTGAACCCTATTGAAAGTGCAAGAGTTTTCATTTTTTTTTCCGAGGCCATTGTCTGCAACTGATATAGAAATTTTGTAAATTCGTAACCTTAACAGTTTCCCAAAACATTCAATATAGTGTTTTGCAGTATGCTTTTTTTTTCTAAGTTTCTGTCCTCAACTCTACATACAATAATTTAATTAACATTGCAATACTGTCAATAAACAAAACTAGATTTATTAAATAAGCCAACTTACATGAAATTAAATGTCGCCACTTTCCTTAACATTCTCGAAAGGATAAATTTTATGATTATAAACCATAGCATCTCGGCTCATTCTCATACTGTTCACAATCACAATCCTTAAACGTTTCCTAACCTACATCTAATATTAGCTAATGCCATATTAGCTTTCATCACTGCAATATATTGCAACATCTTTGGCAATATCCCTTAAACCTAAGGGAAAACAAACCTACAAAAACTACTTACTGCACTTTAAATCCCCATAACATTATGTACTGAAGAAAAGGATCTAGTGTTAAATGTATTGAAATGCTTCTTTCTGGTGAACTTTTTGGTGGCTCCTTGGGGTTAGCCACCTAGATACCTATACATGTATCATGCCCCACTAGGCCCTTGCGAGTCATAAATGCCTACTGGAGATCTACGAATCTGGTTCAGTCAGAGGCAGAAGAAACTGGAGATATAAGGTCAACACAAGCCAAGAGAAAAAGGCCAAAAGAAAGGTAGAATGCACTAAAACAGACAACTGCAAGGAAAATATAAACAAACCAGACAATTGTGAACACAGTAGGTAGGTCATTACCACTGCTAATTGCAAGAAAATTGGTATGAGCCATGAGGATGATTTGAACCCACTCACTTGGCCCTCCCAAAACAAACACCCTAGACATGGTCAAAAGCAATGCAACCTGAGATTTTACTGAATCCTCTAAGGTTCCTGAGGCCTCCAACTGAAGTCCAATCAGGGTTTGGGTTTCAAAACATTGTCCCCATACACTCATGCTTATGATCCAGTAGTTTTACCGCCAATGCTTCTCATCAAATGCACAATGAAATCGCATTAGCCTGATATCACCGAGAAACTTGGTAGGCGCCAAGAGGAGGATAGCTCTAGAGGATTCGGTAGAATCCCAGGTTGCATTGCTTTTGCCCGTGGGTCATGATGTATTAAGTATAAACTTATTGAAGGGTGTTTGCTTGGAACTACCAAGTGATTGGGTTTGAATTGTCCTCGTGGGTATAATTGTTTTTTTCATTAATATATCATGTTAATGATTTCATTGTGCACTGCTAATTCCTCATTCTGCCAGGTAGTGGTCCCAGCCTCTTGGGGACTGACAGGCAATACCAGATCAGTCATATGCTGCCCAAAAGAACTGAAGACTGAAAAAAGTTACAGGCTAAAATGAAGGGAACCACCAAGGAGTCCACCAGAAAGTGGCATTTCATCACAATCAATGCTGGATTTCTGTGGGAACTTCAGTCACTCCCTGAAGCTATCATTGAGAACAAAAAGAACCTACTAGGGTAAAGAGGGGAGCAACTTCCAGGAGCCCCCTCTAGAAGGGGAGAGCAGCACTGGATAATTGACCCAAACATGTAAGCCCAGACCAGCCCAGGAAAATCAACAAGCCATCATTCAGCCAAAACCTCAAGAAAAACCCAAGACATGTCAGAAAAGATCTTTATATAAGTGGCCAAGTTATGGTACAGTAGCCATAACTGAGTAGTATATCAGTCTTTGGTTCCTGATAGGATTATAGAGACTAAGGCCTGGCATGGATTGAATTGCAAGGAGCTTTCCAGGTAGCTAGCATAAAGGAGTCAACATTGATGGAGCCTCCCAGAAAAACAAGAATGTTTTTGTTAAATTTTTAACTTAAATTTATATTAGCCATGCTTATACTTTAAGGCTAAATATCAAAGAAATATAAATCTGAAAATATTGTCCTGTGTGGGGCTTGTCAGGTCTGGCAGGGGTGAAAACAAAACCAGGACCATCAATCTTGAACACTTGACTTATCTTGAACACTTTACTTAAAAACATGCCTAACCAAGTTTAGGGAAAACAATCAAGGTGAGCATAAATGGTATGCAGAAAGTCTGATGTATGTGCCTAGAGCAGGCACCTCTAAACATGTGTAGCTCAAACCAAACAAAAGACTCGACCACGAAGTTTACAGCATATAAACACATGAAGCCAACGCCAAAAATTGGAATACAAACAAAAAAGCGGCCTCTCTGCAGGGCAGTTTCCAAAGAATTGCAAACATTTATCTAGAAAAAATTGTTTCCACCCAAAAGGTGGTGGAGACATGATAAACAGGCACATTACTGATCAGATGTTGCCAGTCAGTGCTCGAGCTGCTGGGGCCACCACCTGGCAGCAAGAAGGTTTAACTAGTGGCGTTACTGCTCTATGTACCGTGTTCCTAATTGTCCAGTATGATTATATTTACCTTCCAGTTGTCTGTTTTGGTGTGATCTACCTTTTCTGGTCTTCAGTTAGCTTTAATAACTTGGAATGGCCTAGTGTGGCATGATGTGTAGAGCCATCCCGTTGGATAGCTCCACGAAGCCACTGAGGAGTCCCCTTCAGAAAAAAAGGTACATTTGATATTATACTAATACATTACACTGTAAATTGTGTCAAACCTTCGGTAATGCAGTATGGTAGAGCAATTTACATTTACTGTGGATATTTTTGTTGGTATTAAATACCATAACCCATAATTTTCTATGTTCTTCTCTACTATATCACATCCTGAAAGCCAGAAATAACAAACCTGTAAAAATTATATTCGGCATACACTCTGAAAGCCAAAGATTCGCCTAACTTTACACTCGATAAATACTAAAGCCCATGTCATATTAAATATCTTCAGTTATGGGAATTTTATCAGAACAAAGAAGCCATAATCACAAACTAATCAATAAATTCCAAGTTGTCTATTTGTCAATACAGGCTTAAAATTAAATAATGCTTAAGGGGAAATGGAAAACATTTAAATACCAAGTTGAAGCACACTATTACCAATTTCTATAGTTATGAATTAATCCCGTACGGTTATTAATAGTGACATAACATCGGAAAATAAACACAAAATATTATCAATATTAACACTTTCCATTATAATAAAAAAAAATTCACTAATACTATTTTGATCTGAAGTAGGCATTCTTGGCAAGAACAATGATGAGGCATGATTCTATTCTTCTGTTTATATTTTAGATAATTTCATTTGCCCTTTATTCCGTGCGAGGACAGTCTACAGCATCATAATATACAATCTTAATTATTTTAAGAAGTGATGAACTTTTGCAATGTCAACATTCCTTAACTAGCTGTCCCTAGATTACAAGGTAAGGCAAATGCTCGACATCCAAACAGTAGACATCGTATATTTTGCTTTCTTTAAATACATAATATTATTTAACTAAATATTGTAATTTCAATACTGTATTTGTTTTAAAAATTATTTATTTCATGTAGCCTACATCACTTCTTTTTTACTATAAAAGTTGGAAAATGAGACACTCAAGCCTGAATTAAAAGAAAACTAATTTTATCAACAAAAAAATTAAACAACTTAATTTCTTTGAATCTTATTTAATAATTCAGCCTCACAATTTTTGACACATGAATGACTTGTATAACAGACCATCACCATCCCTCTGAAAACTTTAAGAATTTGTGTGTACTATGAAATGTGTACAAATGCTAAATTCTAGAGAACATACTTCATAAATTCACTAGTTTAAACATCAAAGTTTACTTTTTACCTAAATTATACTATTCTACAAAAATTATGATTTTTATAAACTTTGAACGACACAAAACATCATAACCACAAACTTAGCATACTATGTTACTCTTCAACATGTTTCTAAAAGCTTCCCCTGACAGCCAAATATAACCCTGTTTACTGCACAGTGGTGATATCAATACTCCAATTCTCAAGCAATTAATTAATTAATTACTTATCAACCACAGTTAAAGCTTAACCAATTTCATCACAGCCTTTAGTGGTGTGTCATTCCACTATTATGATGAAAACCTTAAGTGATTTCATTCAGTTTACCATCAACCACTACAGCTATTACCACATTAAAGTCTTATCACAACAACACTCGGGGTCTGAATATGAAATAACACCCTCCTAGGTTTCGGTTAAAATGCTACTAATATTTTTGGGGTAAAAAGTTAGTAAAAAATTAATGTTGGCACCTATGGATACCAGTGCGTGCTACAGTACCAGTATCTGCTTGTGATGTTACCGAGTGTGGAAGGTAGAGTGAAAAATTAGGTGTCACAAACGGAACATTTTGTCCTTCACACTTTTTCATCTTAATCCACAACATATTTGGGCCCATATCCCATTGCAAACAAAAGCTTGAATAATCAAGCTATCACCAGAAAACCCTGCCCCCCCCCCCACTAACTAGGCTGCTAAAGAATTAAAAACAACTCAATAAATTACACGTAGTGGATGCCTCTTCATGAAAATACAAAATGGAGGTAGAAATAATTACCACAAATTACGTATAACAAAATAATTCTTGGATAATAATACAGGACATGCATTAAAATTACCAACATTATTCATTCTTTACCAACAAGTAACACATTTCTGGTTTAGAAGAAACAAAATATATAATAATGCTTACTAATTAAATAAGGAAAAGCTCTAAAATGAGATCTGCTATCAACCCATCCTCTCGAATAGTACATTGCATTTTGACATAGAAATCCCCAAAAGACTAAAAAACTGATGTAATAAAGATCATAGCACCTGGCAAAATTAATGTGATGTCCCATTTTCTATTCAAGGGTCCGCGGTTAGGTTAGTAATCACACAGTGTTAGATTTCACTTATGATGGAATTGTTAAGATGAACGAAATACAATTCCATCATCAGTGAGCCATGATAAATTTAGTACATCAGTTTAGTTGGGAATTGTTGGGAATGCTTGGGCTGTATCAATATATTGACATTGGATGCGAAAGTAAACAGAGTAGTACATCAGTTGATGATCATCTCGGGTAAGTTAAAGCTTCCATACATGAATGTTACTTCAAAATTCAGATCTGGGAGAGGCACTTGCCCATTAATTTAAAACT